AAAGCGATTGGGAATCCTCGTCGGAGTGAGGACTTTGTTACTCAATCTCGGCTCTGCAGATTCTTCAGTGAGAGCTAGAGGTTTGTAGGGGACACCACCGACAGATGTTGAGAATATTCCCCCACAGAAGCCTCGTATTGGGCTTTGACTTCCCTTCTTGCCCTCGCAATGGAGAATACCGAGTGTAGAGCTGGAGCCGCACAAGCGGCTTTGGCAAGCGCGTCGGCTACTTCGTTGCCCAGCATACCTGCGCGGCCCGGGCACCATCGGATGGCCACTTCCCCAGGCGTTGTGTTTTGGCCGCGTGACCTTCTTTTCCAGTTTGCTGCAAGCTTGCGAAAGAGAAAGATTTTCGCTGAGCTAGATGCTGAGGGAATATCAGAGAGAAGACGGAGGGCGGTCTTCTGAGCATGAAGTTTTAAATCTGGTGCTATCTAACAAAAAGTACAGGGGGACTATTCTCAACACCTGTCAGTGGTGTCCCCTACGAACCTCCAGCTCTTACTGTAGAGTCCGCAGAGCCGAGATTGAGTAACAAAGTCCTCACTCCGACGAGGATTCCCAATCGCTTTCGCGGTCTGTATCGTCTTCATCTCTCAACACATTCCCCTATCACCACTATCATGAAGCTAACCACAATCAGATCAGATGGTAGGGTCGGGGCCCTTCTCATCACCAACCCTTGATCATGGATTAAAGCTATCCGATGAGTTTCCGGAGCGTACCCAGCACCCGATACAGAGATAGCGGAATGGATCAAGTCGACCTCGACTGATGCAAAGAAGGGAGATATAGATGAATATGCGCACCTCATGTGGTACCGGTGTCTAGGCCTCGCCTGGCTGGGGCTGCAGGTTTTTTGAGACTTTTTCCCCGCGCACGCAGTTTCCATTGCTACCATTTTTATTTTTTTGGGTAGAAGGTTCCGTGGAAAAAGTGGCTGAATTCCACGGGTAAATACTCAGCTGAATGGCTATTCATCAAGGGGAATATATCCATGATCTTTCAAGTAACAAAAGAGGATAGGAGCACTGTACAAGGTGTGGCCTGGGTCAGAAAGGAGCCCAATGTGCTAGATAGTCATAAACTCAAATAGCACAATAAACACAAACACACACACACATACTCTAGATTTCATTTGCAAATACCACTATGAGGAATGTTCGCTTACACAAACAGTCGAGCCTCTTCCGTTAGTAACCACCAAAGGGAAATTCATAACCTTTGATTATCCAAGCACGCCTTCGTCATCCATGCATACCAGCGCCACGAGAAATGTGGTTATGTTTTGCCGGATTTGAACCGGCGATCTACTGTCTTAAGTGTGATATGTGTCCAAGCTATCCAGACCTTACTTGGCAGACCGGCCAAGACGATGTACCACCGCACCATCCAACCATGGCAGTCTTTATATTGTCGCCTGCACTCTCGCAACCGAAGTCTCGGCACGGACAAAGCTCAATTTGTAAAAACTCCTTGCCAAAATTTAAAATTCCACGCCCGTCGAGACTGTATCCATCCGTCGCATCATCTTGTTAACTTGTCCTTAATCCTCTCACGCCAATCCCAAAGAACTTTCTCTAAGATTTTTGCGCCATGCTTTGTGTCATCTGTCGGGTATAAATATCGGCGCGGGCGTGTATTTGGTGACCAGCTGAGGTCAGAGAAAGTCGACGACAGGTGTGATCATTGAAATAAGGATGTACTAGGTCGTACTTGCTGACTTGATGAGGCTTAGGTAGGAATCCATCTCGTTGGGAGTGAAAATTTGACGTGTTGAGTAATTTGAATTATTGCCTAGTGGGCCAACTTGTTCGGTATTGCGAAATTTGACTGAACTTGGCTCTAGGAGAATATTTCACTCTCAGGTTCGTAGAGGATACTGCGTACAGGTGTTCAGTCTTGCCCTCCTGGTTTTGGAGTGCTTGCCATGGCAGGGGGCTTCTGACTTGGAAATTTGGTTGCTTCTGCCTGATCTACTGCGAAGGCAGTGATAACAGGCGTGATATTTTTCAACAGAGTCGCGACAACTGCTGCTGCTTGCTATTCTCTTTTGATATTAGCCCAGGAGTCGATTAGCTCAAGAAATTCCTGGGCTACATCCAATCTTTCATTCCTTTGCTGTTCTGCTGTTTTCATTGTATTCACAATGCCAAGCAGGCTTGGATGGGGTTGCCCTCCTGGATCGGAGGGCGTTGTCGATGACAATGCAACAGTTGGGGCTATTGCACCGATTAGAGATTCTTGTAAAAAAAATGGTAATGAGTGATGCGATGTGGGATGGGTGACGGGTGTGATGTCTTTCTCTTAGAGATGCCCTTATTTCGTATTATAATTATTCTTGTGTTATCAGTATTTTTAGGAAATCAATATAAACTTCGTATACTTCGTTCGATCATACAGATTACGAATACATTTCGTGACAGCGCTCTATTTTAATGATTAAATGAAGAGTAATTACGTAAAGATAGTAGCTTTATCACAATGAAGTGCTTGACACTATTAGAGAGTGAAAGATGATATATGTTTCCTTTTTAGACTCATTTCCCGATGACTGCTATCTACATAAAGGAGAATTTTCCTACTTATTCCTATAGCCCATCTACCCACTTGCTAGTAGAATATTCCATCCTGTGGCATATAATATTCTATCATATGCTATAGAATAGTCTACATTCTTGTCCAGATCATCCACGTGTGACTATCCATGATGTCACTACTCCAACCACATCTTGTACAGGTCTCTATATCATCTAACACAGCTTATATGATTGGCTGAGAGAATTCGCATAATAACACCTACAGCCATAAACAGCCCAGCTACAATCGACCGGACCCATCCTCTAATTGTATTATTGAATGAGAATTTGTGAGGGGTGGTACTGTTTGAGGGGAGCTATATATGAGGCACAGGAAGGGATATACTACTAGATATAACCTGCATGTCCTGTCTAGTCGTAGAATGAGAAATGATGATAAAATGAATAACACCCAAAAATCCGAGTATTTCCAGTTAAAAATGCAGCCCAGCCAGGCAAGGCCTAGACACCGGGACCACATGAGGTGCGCATATTCATCTATATCTCCCTTCTTTGTAACAGTCGAGGCCGACTTGATCCAATCCGCCATCGCCGTATCGGGTGCTGGTTACGCTCCAGAAACTCATTGGATGACTTTTCCTCCATAATAAAGGATGGGTGCCGAGTAGCGCTGTGACCCTATCACCTAATTAGGTCGTTTTTAGTCTCATGATAATGGTGAAAGGGGATTGTGCCGAGAACCGAAGACCATATAGACATCGAAAGCGATTCTGAATCCTCATCAAAGTGAGGTGCATGTTACTCAATCTCGGCTCTGTAGACACTACAGCGAGAGCTGCAGGATCTTAGGAGACACCACTGATTGGTGTTGAATTTTCATCCTCCAGCGTCTGACTTTTTTAATACCCTTATCGCAAGCCTGGATGAGCTATAATCAGAATTTAATCAATTATATAGTTCTAGGTACCATCTGGTAGGAAATTGTTGGCCACATTAGAAAATCCGTATTTAAGCATTCGGTGTTTATTAATTTAATTTATTGTCCTGTCTGAGTCTATGACTATGTAGGACATGCAGGTCCTTCCTGTCTACAGCCCAAGGATACCTATGGCAGTAGTATATCCCCTCCCATGTCTCCCATATAGCTCCCCTCAAACAGTACCGCCCCTCACAAGTCCTCATTCGATTATACACTTAGAGGAGCCCTTTGCCCTTCATTATCTCCCCTCTCCAGCCAACGAAACAGTGGCCATTTGTAGGTGTATGGCAGCCGGGAAAAATTGCAAAAACCACTGGGTGCGGAGCTCTCCTAGTACTGACATCAGGACTAAATCCGAAGACACAGTGATCCTTCTGAAGCGTTCGAAGAGGCCGACCAGCTAGGCGCTACAAACTTGTGGACACCTCGGAAAATTCACCCTCTACCTTTCTAGCCCAACTTCTTTTGCGCCGTCCAGGGCGCTGGGGAGTGCCGTTGACTCATCGACAATGGAAGTCCTCCTGACTAATTATCCGAAATCTTGGTCTTGGCGCCCACAAAAAATCCAAAGTTGAAAACCCCTCGAAAATATCAGTCCCAGCATGGCCTTCAGAGACCTATTCCCTCTCTAGTTCCAAATATCAGCCGCCTATCCTCCCTCAAGATTTACAACCCCATTAGAGCATCAGTCCCCCATGAACAAAGACCCCAACTTTTTACATTATGACTGAATTTCCTCCTTGCGAGTATAAATAGCGTCGTAAATTTGTAGTGGGCGATGGCCAGTAATTATTGAGGCAAGCTCCTGTTTACAATTGGAGCAACTTCTTTATTGGTCGTTGAGGCGAGATGATGCGTGGTTAGAAAGAGGTTGAGGACTTAGATGATAATGATAATGATAAGAGAGGCATTGTCGAGAAGTCATCAAATGGAGATGTGCTTGAGGATGCTTTCGACTTCGATTCGGATGCGATTCTTCTTGGCTATCTCAGATATGCAGAGCATACTGAGCGATTACACCGGCACCACTGGAAGGTGAAGAATTCGTCTTTGCCGTCAAGCATTTGGTGTTGATTCACTTGCTTTTAAAAAGCTGTGTGTGAGAAGCAAAGAAATTCTAAAGGTTCGTTTTGAGGTTAGCTTATTTGAAGTGGTGAATTCGATGGCTGTGTCGCCGTACAATGTAGAAATAACCATTTATTAACTATGTTAGGTTGCGATTTGTTAACAGTCGGCAAATTTGCTATGCATCGAGTAATTGAGTAGTCGAATTTGAATTGATCTTATCAACTGAAGTCGTGTCACACCCGTAAAGATCACCGAATGGATGATATTAAATATTAGGCATGGATCCACACCGGGTAACTAATTAGCCTATGTGAATAGTATTAGCTTGAAGACTATGACTACTAATTGAAATGGCACACCTTCCCTTGCGACACTTAAACTCTGCTTTACATTCACATTGCGCTACGGTCACAATGCCTGGATCTCCAACATTCTATCAAATTCTCGACTTGCCTGAAGGCTTCCACACCCATTCGTTACTACATTTGAAGGCCCTCAGAACTGCGTATCACAAGGCTCTTCTTAGGAACCATCCAGATAAGACCTCAAGTGCCACTGAAACTAAGCCTACGAAGGTTTACACAATCGATCAAATAACGCAAGCTTTCTCTACTCTATGCGATCCAAAATTGGCTGCCGCGTACAGCAAGGAGCTAGAGTCAAGGGCTGTATCCTACTACAGGGAAACTTGGGCAAAGGATTATCGCCCCATCGCTGAAACAGTTGATTTGGAGGAAATATGCTTTGATGATTCGGAAAAACTTTGGTTTAAGGATTGCAGGTGTGGTGATGATCGCGGTTATATTGTTCAGGAAAAAGACTTAGAGGTAGCGACGGAGGATGGTGAAATCAGCATTGAATGCAGAGGGTGTAGCCTGTGGCTAACTGTGCTGTTTGGGGTGGTGGAAGAAGAATCGAGTGACCGCGCGCAAACGGATAACATGGATTGTAGCATCTTAGACAATAATCCTGAAGTGATGTGTCATGTTTCTTCCGAATCAACACATCAGTAGATCTATGATATGCAGTAAGTTTTGTGCCAGAGAACGATAAACAAGAAATTCATGAGTGTTAGGAATTCTGCTCATGAAATAGTAACATTCGTTGGATACTAGGACTAAAAGTTTAACAAATCAGATCGACGTTATGTATCGACTTCCTATGACTTCCAATCAGTGCCCGAGGACTATTGGTTGCCTCAAACCTGCGAGTTTTGATCTTGCAGCTCTCAGATGTAATGAGATACGATGAAAATTCCCAACACGTCATGATGAAATTAATCGGGTCGTGTTGGGTTACAAGTAGCTGCTTGTATTTTACAATGTCACATAGAATCTTCGTGTATCTATAGTCCCTCGCCTACACCGCCTAAGTTAGCTCCATCGGCAATACAACTCTTACACATACCCACGTGTAATACTACCCATCTGTGTTAGCCGTAGTTGCATGATCCACTCTTGTTCACTAATGCGTAGCATAGGTAATAGTCTGGTCGAGTTAGCGATTTATCGCAATCCTTTTCTGAGCTCATCAAGACTTCTTGTAAGAATTCCCAGTTTTACGGACAGACGCTACAACGGTACTCACTGTTCGGTACGAATTTTCAGGTAAGAATTTTTACTACATCCTTGGATCTTCAATTTTAGCATTATTTTCAATTGTTCTTATGTTAGTAGTTGACGCCTCGCAGAGCTTTCACAGCACCTCAACGACATCAATTGTTAAAACAACTGAGAAAAACACCCTCAGCTTCGACAAGCATTAGAAACTGCTCTTACAGACGTAACAACATGTGCAGACTCCATGATAACCCAGACGCCCTCGCCTCTGCAATGATAACTCAAAGTGGAAGAGAAATTCTACCTTCCAATGTAATTCCCAGACACTATGATATTACTTTAGAGCCGAATTTTGAAAATTTTACCTACAGAGGCTCAGTTAAGATTGACCTGGATGTCGTAGAGGAATCCACTTCTATTTCTCTAAATACTCTTGAACTTGAGATACAGAGTACAAAAATTTTTTCAGAGACAGCTCTTATTAGCTCTGATCCTATTCTTTCGTACGATGAATCGACTCAGACGACAAAAATTTTGTTTCAAAAGCCACTTCCCAAAGGCTCCAAAGCAAAACTTGAAATGCAATTTACAGGCCAACTCAATGATAAAATGGCTGGTTTCTACCGATCCACGTACAAGAACACAGATGGAAGCATTGCCGTACTAGCCACAACCCAAATGGAACCTACCGATGCCCGTAGAGCATTTCCTTGTTTTGATGAGCCTGCACTTAAAGCTGCGTTTACCATTTCATTGATCTCTGACAAAGATCTCACCTGTTTAAGTAATATGAACGCAGTATCTGAGGTCGAGGTCCAGTCTGAAGTTGATGGAAGCATAAAAAAAGAAGTAAAATTTGAGAAATCACCTTTAATGTCAACTTATCTTGTTGCTTTCATAGTTGGGAAACTTAATTGCATAGAAACGAATAACTTCAGAGTACCCGTCAGAGTATACGCGCCACCTAACCAAGACATTGAGAATGGCAGATTCTCTCTTGAGCTTGCAGCCCGAACGCTTGAATTCTACGAGAAGACTTTTGACAGCAAATTTCCTCTTCCAAAAATGGATATGGTCGCTATTCCAGACTTTGCTGCTGGAGCCATGGAGAATTGGGGACTTATCACTTATCGAGTTGTCGACCTTATGTTTGATGAGAAAACCAGCGGTGCTTCAGTTAAGCAAAGAGTTGCCGAAGTCGTTCAACACGAACTTGCACATCAATGGTTCGGGAATCTTGTGACCATGGACTTTTGGGATGGACTCTGGCTGAATGAAGGGTTCGCAACCTGGATGTCGTGGTATTCTTGCAATGCTTTTTACCCTGATTGGAAAGTTTGGCAGGGATATGTCACAGATAATCTCCAAAGTGCCCTCTCCCTAGACTCACTACGAAGTAGTCATCCAATCGAAGTACCAGTCAAGCGGGCAGACGAAGTCAATCAGATTTTCGATGCTATCTCGTATTCCAAAGGGTCTTGTGTTCTCCGTATGATATCCAAGTATCTAGGTGAAGACATATTCATGGAAGGTATTCGACAATACCTAAAGAAGCACGCCTATGGAAATACGCAGACTGGTGACTTGTGGGCTGCACTCTCCGCAGCAAGTGGAAAGGAGATAGAAAGCGTCATGAACATTTGGACAAAACACGTAGGGTATCCTGTCATAACAGTGACGGAGAATGAGGCTGAGAAGTCAGTTCATCTTAAGCAGAACCGATTCCTCCGGACTGCAGATGTAATGCCAAACGAAGATGAGATTTTATATCCTGTATTCTTGGGCATGCGTACTAAAAATGGAATTGACGAATCTTTAGTACTCTCGACTCGGGAGGAGGAATTTAAATTACCAGATTTAGATTTCTTCAAGCTAAACGCAGATCATAGTGGAATTTACCGCACCTCATATTCTCCAGCTCGATTAGAAAAACTCGGAGCAGCAGCTATGTCTGGGCTGTTATCAGTTGAAGATCGTGCTGGCATGATTGCTGATGCAGGTGCACTCGCTGCCTCTGGGTATGGAAAAACGTCTGGAGTATTAAAGTTACTCAAAGGATTTAATTCCGAAAAAGAATTCGTAGTATGGAATGAGATCTTATCTCGTCTTGGTACAATTCAGGCCACTTGGATTTTCGAAGATCAAGACGTCCGAAGCGGTCTGGAGGCCTTCCAGCGAGAACTAATTAGCGAGAAAGCTCACCAAGCCGGTTGGGAATTTAAGGATAGCGACGGACATATAGAACAGCAATTCAAGGCACTGCTTTTCGGCAGTGCAGGTATGTCAGGCGATCCTAAAATTGTCAAAGCTGCGCAGTCAATGTTTACAGCATTCTCCGGTGGGGATTATTCAGCCATTCATCCTAACATTCGTGGAAGCATATTTGGAATTGTGCTGAAGTACGGAGGGGAAACCGAGGTATGTTTTACTAGTGATTTACATATAGGGGCTAATTTTACATAGTATGATTTTATTCTGAATACCTACAGAAATTCTAAGAATACCGATGAGCGTAATACTGCGCTTCGATCACTCGGAAGGGCCAAGGACCCCAAACTGGTTCAGAGAACACTTGAACTGACTCTTGGAGGAGAGGTGAAAGATCAAGACATTTATCTTCCGATCAGTGCTCTTCGGACACATCCAGCAGGAATAGAGAGCCTTTATTCTTGGATGATGGAAAACTGGGACGAACTGACCAAGCGTCTTCCGGCTGGACTTTCAATGCTTGGTTCAGTAGTGTCGATGTGTACATCGGCCTTCACCAGTGATGATGATCTGACTCGGGTAGAGAAGTTTTTCTCGGAAAGAAGCACCAAAGGATTTGATCAAGCTTTGGCTCAGAGCTGCGACAACATCAAATCCAAAGCTGCGTGGCTGAAGCGTGACAGACAAGATGTTAAGGAATGGGTCGATTTATATGTGAGTAAGGCTGGGTCTCGGTGCACGCTTTAGATAACCTTTATTGTCTTGGGACTCTTGATATAGAAGTAGCATAGCTGAATCAACTGGCTTCTGCATAATTGACACGTGCAACGGCATGATTTCCGAAAACTTAGTCATCTTCAATATAATATCTTTTTCTCCCTACTTTCATTCATCTCGTGCCCCACAGCATGATTTGTAATATCATTATATAGTAAGTTGATAGATATTTCGGTTGTGTTTCACAGAAACTTGAGTCCGTAGAAAATCCATCTTTTCTCGTTGGTCACATAGTGACGCTGGCTTGTTGTGCGATAATAAAACCGCCAACTGTGACAGAAATTGCACGCCTAGCGGCGCCGCTGTTTGGGAGGCAAGAGCGATGTAAAATGATATCTAAATTATCATCAAATCGACCTTCAGATTTCGCTCCGCGTATATGTGCGGAATATGTTGGGAGGTTAGAGTCGTGGCCATGACAATACTTTTCATGATGTTTCTATCTTTTCTGACTTGTACGTACAGCTGTCAAAAATAACCCTAGGCCCACTCACTTTTCATAGCGTGGTAAGGATTCGCATGATTCATGAATCAGCCTGTCAGGTAGATAAGTCTGTGGAGATAATTCTTCAACAGCATCGGGGCTTGGGGCTGTTGGAGCAGTATCAGCGTCTACTGGCTCGCCACATAAGTAGGAGGGCGCACTAGCTTGTGAACATAGCAGTCGGCGCTTAAGCTCTTGCTTATCATCTTCAAACCGCTCGAGAACTGCCACACCAGTCTCCGTAATAATAGGTATCATTGGCTCCTGGCTAGAGCTAGTGGTTTTAGATGCCCTGAATCTGGACATATAAAATTCCCCGTCTTCTTCGCTCGGTGGTACAGTTACAGCGATACTACGTGATGAGCTAACAGTATCCATAGGTGGACAGCTAGGTAATAATCTTTCCTCTGCGCGCTTTAATCGCTCTTTTTCATTTACGGACTCATCATAATGTATATCTGGAGATACATCTGGTATCAATCCATGTGATGGTAAGATCTCATGGCCTAGAAAATTTCGAGTTTTGTTTCTACCATTTGAGTAGACTTCAGTACTAGAACAGTCGATCTCTTCTTGGTATAGTATTGCTTGCTCGTCCAAGTATCTATGGTCGGACTCGTTCGTTATATAAGAGATCTCCATTTCTTGATTAGAAATAATAGAGTTCAAAGGAGTCTCAGCGGCTACTTCGGTATGATCACATGACTGTGGGCTGTTACTGCTATTGCTGTGCTTTCGATTACGTAAACTGTCTTTAGAACCGACAATAACTTCGAATGAGCACGCTACCACATTTTTTTCTCGCCGAATACTCTCAGTCCCAACTATATTTCGACCCGATGTTGCGAGCATATTGGTATTATTCTCATGCCAAGTGTTATTTGAGCTGATGTAGTTCGAAGCTGTTGGTAATGTGACTGTCCCTAATAAAGGAATATGACGATGTTGGTTTTTAAGCCTCCCCCCTAAGTCCACAACTACCTCAACGAAATATTTGAAGGCGATGATCTGTCCCGGCACGCCACATATGGTCGGGAATGCAAATTCTGGTATCCTTACGGATGCATGAACGACAGCTGTAAGTGTTACTGGATCAACTATGAGAGGCGCAAAAACTTGCGCAAGATCTTTGCGGAAAGAACTACTGGACCCAGCCGAAGTCAAGGACAATCCTCCTAGTCCAGTCTTTGACTTTGGATAGTACTCTTCGTGCTTTGATTTGGCGGATTCTTTGTGATCAGTATGTGAAGGTGAAGAAAAGGGGAGAATATAGTCAATTCTTCCCTGACGATAAAGTGTTACTATTATACCATGCATGCTTCTGATTGGTTTTGTGTGCTTGATAGAAATTTTTACTGGTAGAACGTCTCCAGGAAGACAGCCTGACTTGAGTGGTTTTATGGTTGCCATAATGTTTTGATCCTCCAATGACGGGCCATCTGACAGTCTCGCTGCAGTTAATGTGTTCAAGCCGGTGACCTGATAGCTGATTTCAGTGCTATTGGCGCTATTCTCAACGCTTATATCGCTCTGGTTTTCACTTGTTTCTGAATTCCGAGAACTCTCAGGATTATCAATCGAACTACTAGTTCTGACATAATCATCAGATGGACGGGATTGTGTTGCTTCTATTTGGGTCTCCACATCAATATGATAGCCGGCTTTTTTTTCTCTCCAGCTTGCTTGTTTTCTTTTTTTCTTCCGTAATGTAGGCGTGAGGGCGATAGTTCGAGATTTTGGTGGGAATAAATGACCAATATCGATGGTCTCAATTAGAGAGACCTTCCGACTGCAAGTGCTTGTGGCATTAGTGGATGTGGGCCAGGTGATGGTAGAAGTAATATAATAAGATATAGTACCTCTCTCGAACTATATGACGATTGTTAGCTTGTTGAGCGCGGGCTTGAGAGTGCGTGGACATACATCGATACTAGTCGGAAGACTTTTTGACGGGAAATCTAGTTCAAAGTTGAATTCATAAATGCCAACATCAAGTCGCCCATCTCCGCATAACGCGATTTCATCCTGAAAAATCGATACATGGCGATTGCGTAGGTGTTGCAATTTCCTTGTATCGTGGGCAGCGGTCAGTCCAGGATTAACAAAAGGCTCGTTGGTGCCATTAGCATTCTTGTAAACACGAGCAAACCCATGTAAGCAGACGGTGAGATGCGTTATCTTAATGGGTTTGATAACAGTCAAAACGACGGCACCTCTTACGGAGTCTCCGGGTGAGTAGTTTCGGTGCGGCTCGTCCGGGCGGATATGAAATTCAGTGAGATTGCGAGCATGAGATCGTAATGGAGAGAGAAGGCTTAATCGGGATAATAAGGCTCGACTTGTTGTTACCCACGGCGACAGTGAGGTCGAAGGCATAAGTGTGGCATTAGCGCACATGTCAAAAGGGACCAACGTTATCGTGGGTTGATTGCCAAGAACTTGGTCGCAAATGCCAAGTGGCGCTGAGTAAACGGCGGGGTCAGACCTTAAGTCTACAGGTTGGTCAGGGACATCTCGTGACGAATATGCCGGGTCCGGGTATATCAGGAGCTGAACGTGATCGGAAACCCAACGACTGACATAGACGTTTAGGCTGTAATAACCTTATATACACATGTAACTGGCGAAATAGGTTGTCTTTGAGAGTATCTTTCCCCACCTTTACTATGAACTTGTCTGAGTCAACGAACAAATAGTAATTTAATACTTCGGCCCCATTTTCGACTGCCAATGCATGTTGCAAACTCAAAAAACAAATATCTGCTTCACAAACTAGATATTTCATATATCCCGCCAAAAACCCCGACATCTACTTCAACAACATGCATTGTTAGCCCTATCCTTAACAAGTGGAAATATTTTCTAACCCTCAATGTCTCCGTTATACAGCACTGCTACCCAACCAATCCCGATTGTTCGTAATTTTCCCCTTATCACTATATGCCTGAGGCATAACCTGAAACAAGAAGGCCCAGCATAACAGGGCAAGGCCGGTCAAGATTAAGACATGAAGCCAAACATGCACCGAGATGTACAATGCTTCCATCTTTGTCGGACTCGTCGTTATCCATATACACTCAGTTATGCAAGCAGCGTGCAACTTAGTGAGTAAGTCGCCTCTTCACTGGTGCGTTAGGGACAAAGTAACCCATATTCGCATTGAAGGGATGCCAGTAATTGCTGTATATCCGAGCAATGTGCGGATGAACAAAATATCTATTATAAGTAGACGATGTCGTTCACTCGCATCTCGTAATTTCTGTCCTCAGAATACGGTTTGTAAAAAAATGATGTGCTATGTTACAAAAGAATATTAGTTGCTAGTGTTTATCGATCCAAGTTGGGGTTCAGATACAATTTAAGGGAGGAAGTATTTGATAGTCTTCCTAGTTAGTTTCATATCGCTTTCACCATCATCAATCATCGTAAATGGTAACCACTGCCGTTCAAAATATCTATTCAGATTCTTCACGAGTATTTGTGTTCTGCATCTCTTTGCTACATTTTATAAGAGATATGCCCCATCATAACTATCTTAACGAACTAGAGTTCAAGCAAGCCTTCACCTATAATATACTCTTCACCGCAAGCTGCCTGCATCACTTCCGCCAGTTGAGTACGATCACTTACACGCGCAGCAAGGAATCCAGCAAGAGCCTCGATATTTTCTGTCCATAGCAAAGCGCTTTCCTTTGACCTAGTTGCCTCTTCTACTTTGTGGGCTATAGTGGTAGGGTCGCTTTCGCCATAGCAAGCTAAATCTTTGTCTAAAATCTCCGACTCGCTCATCAAAGCCTCATGGATCTGAAGATACGAATCGCTAGGATTTATATTCGAGTTTTCCTCCTTGATATCTGATGGCGTTACTGCCTCTTCTACGTCAGTACGACGTCGTTCTATCTCCTCGTTTGTCCCACGCTCCGTCAAAGCAATTAACTCCGTCAGTCGGTTCTGTTCGGCTTGCAAGTTTCTCATGAGTTTATCTCGATTCTTTTTGGCGTCCGACGTAAAACTCCAGTACCAATTGCCACTCCCGATTTTCTCAACCCTGATGAGATTTTCGTCCTGTAAAGCTTGGAGATAATCCTTTGTTTGCATTGGATTAATAGATGCTACCGTTTGTAATATTTTTTCTAGCTCCTTCAATGTAAAAACCTGCATTGTATTCCTCATGTACTCTAGGATCTTGGCCTGTTTAGACGCTGGAGGTATGTTTTTTGGCACCTAGAAGACCAAGGCTTAACATTAGCTCAGGGCTAGATATTGCATGTGTATAAGCTTGCCATTTTACCAGACGTATTTTCAATTATGTGGTGATAGTGGTCAATACATGTATAGAAAAGCAGTAAATTTGTCTAAAATAGTAGATGTACTCTTGTCACTCTCTTCATTCAGCTAGTCGAACAGACCAGTTTGAAAATGAATGTCGCCAACCGCGTCCAATTATCTGAATGATTTGGTCTATTAGATTCACTAGCAACTACTACAAAACTCACTCTATACCCCCTATATGGATACTCTCTCATCTTAATAGTCACCATGGTCTTGTAAAATCCTCTTTCGTAGAAATTCTATAATCCCGATTATTGAAGCAAAATTGAAGACCTATCGGCGACTCCCCCTCCGGACCTGGGAGCGAAATATTCCCACAAACCTGAGTCCATTTAAATTTCGCAGTACCAAGTTAGCCCACAAGGCAATTGCTCAAGACCATCCCCCATTCAACTTCTCACTTCCAACGAGATAGTTTCCCACAAAAACATTAGCAATTTTCCAAGTACGCATCAGAATCTAATTTTTACAATGACTAAGCTTCTTATCTACAATTTTCTGGCTTAGACTGGCCAGTTCCGGACAGGGAATGTGAATATCAGCAGGAGAAAGAAAATCGTGGCACACCAGCCAAAAGAGGTAAATCTCCTGGTGGAAAAGAGAGATATTTGAACAGATAGGCAGTGTATTGCTAATTGTAGATAAAATTCGAAAGGACTGAGATTTCGATTGTTGGGATCGATTCTTACTGCAGGGGTACTTTTGTTTTAGATCATTTAATGTGTATTCAGCTATCTAGCTATGACACATGACTGGTGCTATGTATACATGTGGGATGACTCTTTTGACGTTAGAGACATTCATACTCTAGATTTCATTTGCAAATACCACTATGAGGAATGTTCGCTTACACAAACAGTCGAGCCTCTTCCGTTAGTAACCACCAAAGGGAAATTCATAACCTTTGATTATCCAAGCACGCCTTCGTCATCCATGCATACCAGCGCCACGAGAAATGTGGTTATGTTTTGCCGGATTTGAACCGGCGATCTACTGTCTTAAGTGTGATATGTGTCCAAGCTATCCAGACCTTACTTGGCAGACCGGCCAAGACGATGTACCACCGCACCATCCAACCATGGCAGTCTTTATATTGTCGCCTGCACTCTCGCAACCGAAGTCTCGGCACGGACAAAGCTCAATTTGTAAAAACTCCTTGCCAAAATTTAAAATTCCACGCCCGTCGAGACTGTATCCATCCGTCGCATCATCTTGTTAACTTGTCCTTAATCCTCTCACGCCAATCCCAAAGAACTTTCTCTAAGATTTTTGCGCCATGCTTTGTGTCATCTGTCGGGTATAAATATCGGCGCGGGCGTGTATTTGGTGACCAGCTGAGGTCAGAGAAAGTCGACGACAGGTGTGATCATTGAAATAAGGATGTACTAGGTCGTACTTGCTGACTTGATGAGGCTTAGGTAGGAATCCATCTCGTTGGGAGTGAAAATTTGACGTGTTGAGTAATTTGAATTATTGCCTAGTGGGCCAACTTGTTCGGTATTGCGAAATTTGACTGAACTTGGCTCTAGGAGAATATTTCACTCTCAGGTTCGTAGAGGATACTGCGTACAGGTGTTCAGTATTGCCCTCCGCAAGGGGGCTTTAATACGACGTAGATAATGTAATATATTTATCACTTTTCTGCATTTGTGTCGATGGATCTTGTTCCTATACTGTAGTCGACTGAGACAGATCAAGCAATAAATCGGGTACACTCCTCACATAACATCATGTGGCAAATAAATTCTCAACATTCGAACACTTACGAATTAGAGTGTATATGATAGTGGATCTATTGTGCTGCTTGCAGATAAAGACGAATTCTTCTCCATCTAGTGGTGCAGGTGTTATCGCTCAGTATCCTCTGCATATCTGAGATAGCCAAGAAGATTCGCATCCAAATCCAAGTCGAAAGCAAACATGCATATCTCTATTTGACGACTTCTCAATCATGCGGCACTTACCATTATAGTCTAAGTCCTCAACTTCTTTCTAAACACACATCATCTCGCCTCAACGACCGATAAAGGCGTCACTCCAATCGCAAACAGGAGCTTGCCTCATTCATTACCGGCCATTACCCACTACAAATCTACGACGTTATTTATACCCGCGAGGAAGAAATTAAGTCATAATGTACAAAGTTGGAGTCTTGGTTCATGGGTAACTGATGCTCTAATGGGGTTATACATCTTGAGGAGGTAAAGGTGGCTAGGATGTGGAACTAGAGGAGGAACAGGTCTCCGAAGACCATGCTGGGACTGATATTTTCGAGGGATTTTGAACTTAGGAACGTTTGTGGGCTCCAAGATCGAGTCTCGACTAATTAGCCAGGAGAACTTGAATTGTCGATGAGTCAATGGCACTCCCCAGCGCCCTGGACGGTACAAAAGAAGTCGGGCTAAGCCACTATACAGCAATCACGCACTGTCAAGACTTTTCTGACATTTCAGCACGACCTTCGGGAAGGAGTTGGAAGGAGGCTAGAAAGGCAGAGAGTAAATTTCCTGAGTTACCCACGAGTCCGTAGCGCCCAGCTGGCCGGCCTCTTCGAACGCATCAGAAGGGTCACTGTGTCTTCGGATTTAGTCCTGATGTCGGTATTAGGAGAGCTCCGCACCCAGTGGTTTTTATGATTTTTCTCGGCTGTCATAGACCCGCACATGGCCATCGTTTCGTTGGCTGGAGAGGGGAGATAATGAAGGGCAAAGGGCTCCTCTAAGTGTATAATTGAATGAGGACTTGTGAGGGGTGGTACTGTTTGAGTGGAGCTGTATGGGGGGCATAGGAGGGGATATACTACTGGCATAGGTATCCCTGGCCTATAGGCAGGGAGGACCTGCATGCCTAACACTATCGCAGACTTAGAATGGACAATAAAATGAATCAATATTAACAAAAACTATCAAGGTAAGCGTACCTTCGTAGTGAATCGATCTCCAAGAGTACTCGCTTAAGAGAAATCAAAATATTTCTTAATTTTCAAGCATGTTAATATCATTTGTGAAGACGAGTATCGCGGGAAATGTGGGCAGGCTTCGCTGTATCAGGAATATAAATCTCTCGCCTAAGAAGGGTGGCTGTTCAATATGTTTGGATTGCATATGAAAGACCATTCAGAATAATTTATCACTGCACCATTTGGCAAATGTCATTTTAAGTATCTCTTCTGCAACCTTGCAATCAAATATTTACTGCGCACATCGCAATCCAATTTATGAATCCGAAGTCTGAAACTGAAATCCAACCCTTTTGTGATTGTATCCAACATTAGAAGAATTTTGCTCATATGTCCTTGTCGCTCGTACCTCCTGTTGTTACGAGACATTCCCGAGTCAAGAAAACGTTACAGAGAAGTTTTGTGGGAGAAGTCAAGTGTTCATAGAACTGTCTTGTAACCTAAGATATTGCACAAGTTTGACTCAATACGAAGAGTTCTCAGTTTTTGGTATGACCATCTCTAATTTTCCAAATCAGTAGAGATGAGAGTGGCAGAAAAAAAATTGCGAAAATGGAGGGAAGTGCATAGGAACTACGTAGCCGTCGACTTGCGTACGGTGTCTTATCCGGAATAGCGAGACTAAACTCAGGTATAGCCCAGCACCATGTAACTACATTGTGTATCTCTGCCTAAATTATTTCACTCAATCCATTCTGTTGCTCGGTCTAAAAGTGTAAGAATAGATGCCTTTTGTGGTTTTGCTTTGATGATTTGCACTGGTAATGATTCTATTATCATATTGTGCGAATGATGAGCATGGAAATGAAATATATTCTTAAGTCTAACGCGTGGACTTATCTGAAAATTTTGATTCTATTCATAGAAGTAAATGGCGGTCTTTTTAAACGAAAACACGTAGTAATTTCCTTGGTCATAGATGGATGTTACGATGAATTTGACAGTTAACTGCAGGGCTGATTAAGAAAAATGGGATTACTACATGGTGATTTCTTATTCATTACTAGGCTTCAGAATTGGTCTTCTTATTATCATACTCTTAAAGAAGAATCAATCTCTTCCTATTATGTTGATAAGTTGTATCGTTCATCACTAGCCTTAATGCACAAGTCACAGAAGATCGCGTCGTGGTCTTTATAGTGATAAAATAGTGGGTCTAGTCTAACTACCAAGCAGTCTAGTGAAAAGTTCCAACCCCAGGCCTGTCGTACTTCATCAACAAATCCATCTATTTATTATTTTAAAATATTATCGCTTTTAACCCCGGATATCAATATTTCATACGATTAAATTGGCCTGTAACAACTAGCAAAAAAATGGGCGACTTTAATTACGGCGGCACAGAAGAGGAATCCGCTGAGATCAAAAGACTTAACGAAGAAGTTGTAAGCCAGTATTCCTAGCAAGATTTATCAATCATCGATATAATAACATCGTCTTAGCTCGAGGATATTGATAACTTTGAAAATTGGGAAAAACTTGTTCGCGCAGCCGAAACACTAGAGGGTGGATTAAATCGCAACTCTAGTCCACAGGCGATAGCAACGACACGCGACGCTTACGATCGTTTTCTTGCCAAATTCCCATTGCTGTTCGGTTACTGGAAGAAATATGCAGATCTAGAGTTTTCGATTGCAGGTACAGAAGCAGCTGAAATGGTTTGTCGCGCACCCAGAACATAAATAGATATTAACATTATATCGAGGTATTTGAACGAGGAGTCGCGAGTATCACCACCTCAGTCGATTTATGGACAGATTACTGCTCGTTCAAAGTCGAGACATGCCATGATCCTGATGTGATCAGAGAGTGAGTATCCCGGAAAATTTCCTTTCCTTTTAACACAGAAAGTCGCGACCTGGTCATTGATATTCATCGTCGCCTTCAAATATATTCAAAGCACCTTTGGGCTTTTGTCGGTGAGATTTGTCAACAGCAAAAAATACCTTATGACATTCTTCTCACCCGCACGATCAGGTTAATTTTTGCTACCCTCACATATTCGCTTTTACTTCGTATCACTCTGCACGACGATAAAAGAGTTCGAAAATCATAAATTCAAGCATCTTGCCTTTCCCGTATTTGCACTCCTTGCTGCTCTTGTGCACCCCATTCTCCCTCTTTCTAAGGTTCAACTGACACTAGCTGCTAGGCTATTCGAGCGCAGTGCCAATTCAGTTGGTTTAGATTTTCTAGCCCATCCTTTCTGGGATAAGTATTTAGAATTTGAAGACCGGTTAGAAGCTTCTGATAAAATATTCGCCATTCTTAGTCGAGTAATCAAGATTCCTATGCACCAGTACGCTCGATATTTTGAAAGATTTCGCCAATTAGCGCACAATAGACCACTACAAGAGCTTGTTTCGATGGAAAAGTTAGCACAGTTCCGAGCGGAGGTTGAATCCGATGGATTCCAAGCTGGACCAAAAGGGGAACTTGAAATAGAACGTGAAGTTCGGCTTAAAATTGATAACTTTCATCTAGAAACTTTCACTTCCACGCAGACTGAGACAACAAAGCGATGGACATATGAATCAGAAATAAAACGTCCCTATTTTCACGTTACCGAGCTTGACAACCAACAACTAGCAAATTGGAGAAAATATCTAGACTTCGAAGAAGCAGAAGCTGACTACACAAGATCAGTATTCTTATACGAAAGATGCTTGGTTACCTGCGCTTTCTACGATGAGTTCTGGTTCCGTTACGTAAGATGGATGTCTGCTCAAGATGGAAAGCAGGAAGAAGTTCGGAATATATACCAAAGAGCCAGTGTCTTTTATGTTCCTATTAGTCGACCTGGGATACGGCTACAGTATGCATATTTTGAAGAGATGTCGGATCGTATTGATGTAGCACGTGATATACATGATGCTATTCTCGATCGCATGCCAGGCCATGTTGAGACGATCGTCTCATGGGCGAATCTTGAGCGACGTCAAGCAGGTGTTGATGCCGCCATACAAATTTATCAAAACCAAATTGATAATCCAGTCGTTGATCTATTTGCTAAAGCAGCCCTAGTTGTGGAATGGGCTTATCTATTATGGAAAATCCGAGGATCAGTGGTGCAGGCGCGTCAAGTCTTTGAGCAAAATCAACAGTGGTACTTACAAAGTCGGCACTTCTGGCTCAAGTATTTAGAGTTCGAGATTTCTCAACCAACGACCGCAGAAGAAGAAGAAAAACACTACAACCGGATAAAGCAAGTCAATCAGGACATGATTAGAAAGAGTAAAATGTCTTTGGCGACTAAAAGAGACCTAAGCAGTGTTTATTTTACTTATTTACAACAACGGGGCAGCAAGGATGCGATGAAGGAGTTTCTACAAATTGATAAAGAGCTAAATGGGTACGAGACAACTAATACCTCCCAAAATTTTGCAAGACTGACCAAACTAGACCAAGCTCTATTCAGCCAGCCTATCTGAAAGTAAAAATGCCATCTACGAGATCTATCAGCAAATCACAAGAAAATGGCCTCTTGCCTGGGGAGCTAGACGATGAAACACTTCGTAGGGGAGAGGCGAAATATGTACGCTATTTTGAGAAGCAGAATGAGATTCACTTGAATCCACAAGCTCTTTCTCCGTTCACATAAGTAATAATACCACCATAAGATAGCTCCTGAACAATCCAGGTCATTGAGAGACACAAGGGATTATGTAATTGCTGCACTGGACGGACTTTCCAGCATTGAATGTATCATACGAGATTATCATTTCGACACTAAATACCTAGACTATTTTGCCCAAGCTTTTCTATAAGTCGATTAGAAGCAAAGATCTTATGGGTTTGGTACTGATGTACCACTAGGACTTCGCACGTTTTTGTCGCAGTTCCACGATTTTAGGAGATGGCCGGCGTAGTGTTATCATGGGACTTGTAAGACAGAAATATATAGCTGATTCGAGACGCAAACTCTAAATTCATGTCGCAACTATTTAAATCTTGTAGTGTATGCACAATCTTGATATCCACGTGGTGTTGTATTTTGTTCTTTGGATTAACCCTAGCAAGAAATCCTGTTCCAATCATTCATGGGGTCATCATCAGGGTTGTTAGTAGTTTCGGTTTTGGTGTGGGTTATTGGATAGATACCTGAGAGTGTCGCATAGTAGTCAGACATGCGACTCGAGTAGCATATGCACGGTAAACCTCAACCGCAAAATGATGATACGAATCAAGTTTTATATGCTACGTCCTGTATGGCTAGAGTGGTTGGAACATGGGAAATTTACCTGTAGATAGATAAAGACGTTGTAGCCCTCTGATAGTTGAGACAAATCTTCTACAATATTATATCGGAATCAATACTAGCCTCCCATTAAGCAATCTAATGAATCATTTCTAATGTCTGTGATAACAGACATACATATCAATGTCTACAACAAGTTTAAAGTCGATAAAATACCTATGAGCTTTTTCACTGACTGTACGTGCTTCAGATTGTATACGTAAGAGACCCAAATGATATTTCTCGTGCAACACTAATATTAGACCTTAAGCCTTGGACGAATCACCAAAATTCACAAAGGATATGAGATCCCAGACAGCTAAATAGTCTATTTTACTATGCTCCACTTGATCAGATCAATTAAGACGAAGACTCAACATCTATCAGCGCTGTCTCCCACAAAACAGGGAGTGTGATAATCTTCCAGAGACGAGTTCAGTTAAATTTCGCAGTATCAAGGTTGATACACGAGGCACTGATTCAAGGCCCACAGCAAAATAGTTTCTGGTCAAAAGCTTTGTAAAGCTTACGATTACGACCTAGATAACCCTCATTCTAGTGACCTAATCGCTCTTCGACTGACTTTGTTCTCAGCTGATAACTAAAAATGCGTCCTAGACAGATGGAAAACCAGTAGGGAGATATAATCATGACTCATTTTAGAAATTTTGCACTTATGAAGGGCTCAGTATTCTCAGAAGTGAAAAAGAAATTGGCTGAAAACGTCTCGTGTCCAGATTTCTGCTAAGAGAATGAAGTTGTGCGCTCTAAGTACAAGTGCAGGCGGGAGATTTGAAGCCACAGGAACACCGATTTTAAGAAATTTGAAAATTCTCCTTTTCCCTTTTTTAATTTCTTTGAGAATTACTGAGCTTAAATTCTCAAATTGATGACCATCGGAAGGTATCCAAAAATGCCGCCGGTGAGGCACAAACGCCCAAATTCGATACCTTCAGTCGGATTTGGGACGGACACAATCGTGTCCAAAGCCAATAGGCTTCGCGTAGAAACTTATAAGCATATTTCCGAGTGAGGGCTTTCTTCAAATAAATTTATCAATTCTTTACAACAAAGAGATGACTGATTACGAGCTCATCAGACCAGAAAACAATGATCCTGAGACCAGAACGCCAGTCAAGTATGCTCCAGAGGCATCCAGCTTAAAGAAAATAATGCGAATTTTTAGAGACAAGACTACAAAGTCTGGAGATTTATCTACAGGAAAACTCTCTGTACCTGCTTTGAAAAGTATAATTATCGCCGCAGCGACGGAACTGACATCGGAGCTGCACTCTATTGAGGCTAAAAAGCGTTGCACGACGCAAATTATGCACGACCGTGACAATAAATATCGAGGTAGCCCTTTCATCCCTCTCTCCAGGTCAAAATAGAGAATTTGTAGCTGGCATAAAAGCCTCCCTACGAGCGGCCACCGGCTAGTTTTTACAATCCGACCTGAAGAGTACACTACCAGTTCTCCCCTCTCGCTCCCGGGGGCTATTCTCAACACCTGTCATTGGTGTCCCCTACGAACTTTCAGCTCTCACTGTAGAGTCTGCAGAGCCTAGTTTAAGTAACAAAGTCCTCAATTCGACGAGGGTTCCCAATCGCTTGCACGGTCTGTATCGTCTTCATCTCTCAACACATTCCCCTATCACTATTATCATGTAGCTAAACACAATCAGATCAGATGGTAGGGTCGGGGCCCTTCTCATCACCAACCCTTGATCATGGAGGAAAAGCCATCCGATGAGTTACCGGGGCGTATCCAGCACCCGATACGGCGATTGTGGATTGGATCAAGTCTACCTCGACTGTTACAAAGAAGAGAGATATAGATGAAGATGCGTACTTCATGTGGTCCCGGTGTCTAGGCCTCGCCTGGCTGGGGCTGCAGGTTTTTTGAGACTTTTTCCCGCGCACGCAGTTTCCATTGCTATCATTTTTTTTTTTTGGGTAGAAGGTTCCGTAGAAAAGGTGGCTGAATTCCTCGGGTAGACACTGAGTTGAATGGCTATTCATCAAGGGCAATATATTAATGATCTTACAAGTAACAAAGGAGGATAGGAGCACTGTACAAGGTGTGGCCTGGGTTAGAGAGGAGCCCAATGTGCTAGATAGTAATGGATTCAAGTAGTACAATAGACAAACCTCTCTATTAACTCAATCCTGCATAATTTTTATGCCAATGGTTATCCATAATTCTAAACTCTGTGATCACTCTATAAAACAAAATCTCTTACACACCTATGTGGTCAATAGCTCCATCAGTACTAATATTCTAATCCACAAACTAAATCCGTACAAAAATTAAAATTTCTATTCCTACCTGTCAATGAAATCATATTCAAAAGTCTGGTGCACTTGAACCATTGACGTGCAGAAGACTGGAAATGAAAGATTAAGTAATCTTGTACGTGACACGAATAAGAACATACAGTGCTATTGAAGTGCACATTCCACAGAGATTTGGGACTTACGATAATTGTAAATAGATTTAAAAATGTAAATTAGATGAAGTGTAATATTCCTAACTATCACGCGACCGTACACTTAGCGATCGGGTCGTCACGAGACGGCATCTCGCTTGTAACTCAATGAACCTCGAGTAGATTCAATCCAACGATTCGCCAACAGCGAGGTAATCTATGCAAATATTTTCTTTGATATTGTGTCATAGCTAGATAGCTACATACGCAATTAAAATCTGATGCAAAGAAAAATCTATGCAAATAATATCACTCTTCATATCATCCATCAGATCAGAATCTTCAAGCTTTCTATCCAGACACTCTGAGGATTTATTTCACCATCAACTCCTTTTAAATCGCCCTTTAGTTTCAATTTCATACTTATATCTACGACCGCGAACAATGCCTGACCCCCCTCCTCCCCCTATTTCTCCGTCAGTAGTAGGGACAATAATGAAGCTGATAGAAACGCTGAACCAAGCGACTTCCGCTGCTAACACAAGAATGCAGGAGGCAACTCTTTTGTTTGGCAGCGTCGCCGCAGCATTGGATAAGGTCACATGTGGTACGGCTGCCTCTAAAATCCCCCTCCATTTGCAGAAAACATATAACGAGCTCTTGACCCATATGCAAGCTGTTGCACAAGAATCGTTCGAAAACCATGTGCGAGGTGTACCAATTCCCGCAACAACTACCCACCTTCTGACAACCCAGCCAAAGCCAGTGGCCCATGCGAAGCCCTCATACGCGAACGTTGCAAGAAAACCGAAGGGCAATGCTGGAGTTAGCACCCCTCAGAATCCGAGACCTTCCAATCTCCAAAAACAGGCCAAACCGCTGCCTTTGGATGATCGATTGTTTCTACGCCTCGATGAAAACGCGACAGAACGCCTGATATCAGCGTACTCACTCCTCCTGTAACTCCAAAATTTCCTTGGGGAGAATTCTACCATGCTTAAGGAAGTGCAACATGTCCCATCTGGCCTGGCCCTCCGTCCATCTTCAGAAGCAGCCTTAACAAGATTAGAAGACCTTTTCGTCCAGGGAATTTGAGAAGGGAGGTTTCCAGGTGTACAGGGCATTGAAAAAGCTTAAAACCTGGAAAGTTGTTATGATGTGAAATCACTCAGCCAATTAGACAAGCTGTATTAGATGATATAGAGATCTATACAAGATGTGGTTGGGGCAGTGACATCATAACAGTTGCATGTGGATGGTGTGAACAAGAATGTAAACTATTTTATAGCATATGATAGAATATCTTACATCACAAGATGGAATATTCTACTAGCAATTAGATAGATGAGCTTTAGGTATAAATAGGAGTATTTTCCTCCATATAGATAGCAATCATCAGGAAACGAATCTAATAAAGCAAACACATATCATCGTCCACTTCATAATAGTGTCAAGCACATATTAATAAAGCCACTGTTTGTATGCAATTTTCCTCCTCATAATCACAATAAAAGTTACATAATTACATCTATACCTTGTACATTCACAACTTTAGATAAAAATAACAGTCTAGTCAAAGAGCCAATCACCCCAGAGCTCGTTCTAAAGGAACTTAAGGAAGAAAATGGGCTTAATACTACTGTTGTAGTCGAGACTGAGGGAAGTATTGCATCTCCCTACGATCCATCTGCCAGATTTATCGCTAGCTTCCCCACGGGCTCTCGTCTCTCAAGAAGGTTCCGTCTTTTCGGGATGGGCATCAACTGCCGTAAATTATCCAAGAAAGTCAATATCGCTCAATGCGGCAGATTTTTTCAATGGCATTATCAGCGTATCTGCGCCCGTGCCCCACGCTGCCGTCTCTGCGGTTCAGTCGAGCATACAGAGGAAACCTACAAGCCGTGTGGGCCATACCAACATCCCTGCCCATCTAGA